ACAAGAGCAGGATTTGGTCAGTTGTGTGTATGAAGGGTTAGCGCTGGAATGAAAAGTATTGCAGATGTACTAAATGACATCTATTCCTTTGGTCTTATAGGCCAGCTGGGACTTGGAACAATTTAGTATCTGTGAAGGTGACGCTAGGTATTGTAGAAAGAAGTTAAGAATATCACTGACCTTGGTTGATGAATTGTGTACTGCTTACAATGCATCCAGTACGGCAGACCAGTTTGGAGAAACAGGTGGTGACTCAGCTGGTGAATTGCTAGAAGAAGAGTCTTTTTGTTTAGTATCAGAAGCCAGCATGATTAGCTGCTGCCTCTGCTGCTGGAACAGGTTAATGGGAGGAGGAAGTGAAATATGTGCAGTGATTACCACAGCTGCCAGTGCTGTTTGAGCCCTTTCTGTCAACATTATTTTTTGTGGCAAAATCAAGGCAACATGCTCCAACAAAAGCTATATGTAAGGCCAAGATTCTGTCATGGATAATTTTAGTAAAAGTCAGGGAGAGGTCACGGGCAATAAAGAAAAATGAATGGAAGCCTGTGACCTCTCGCTGACTTTTACTAAAAATATGCATGACAAAATGGGGAGCCGCTGGGGGGGGGGGAGAAGTGGGGGGCTGGGAGCTTGGACCTCCAGGGTCCCCCACCCTCCATGGCTCAGCGCTGTGGAGGCTGGTCAGGAGCTGCAGAGTCCCCCCCCACCATGGCTCCCGGCACCCCCGATGGTGAGGAACTGTGTACCACTGCCCCCCTGTGGCGGGCGGGGAGCTGCGGGGGGCCATCATGGCTGGGGGCAGCGGGGTCCCCCTGCCACTCGCGGTGGCGGGGAGCTGCAGAGTACCCCCACTGCTGACAGTGGCTCGGAGTTTAGGGGGCCCCGCCACCTCAGGAGGTGGAGGTACCCCACTGCTCCCGGCCGCCTGCTGGCTGAAATCATGGAGGTCTTTGGAAGTCACAGATTCCATGACTTCCACGACCTCTGTGAGAAAATCTTAACCTTAGCTATATGGGGTGTGTGGGGAGGTGGGGAGCTTAGCATCTGACATGCATTAATTACACTTTGCAAAAATTCACATTATTATGCAAATGTTGCCTTAATGTCTGTAAGCTGAATTAGGTATGGCAAGTAGGATTCAAGAAACACCTCTAGACCTTTTATGAGTTTAAAGTTATCTAGATCAACCTTCCCCAGGCTTGATTCTTCGTGTTCTCTATGGATGTGGTGAAAATGCATTTTGAAATAAAACAATGTTCTGTACCACTCAGCATGTCTACAGAACTGTTGGGAATGTTAAGAGAAAATGCAAAAGAAAATATTTCTACTTTGATGTGTTTTGAACTTGAGGAATCTACTATGAACCATGTTAGCTTAGGTATACTTATAGCAACCTACAATATGCATTTATTTCTCTCTTTTCTGGTTGTGTTCTTACAGTTTTTAGTACTTCGTGTTAGATCATTAATGTAAAAAAATTAGATTTTGTTCAATTTTAACATAAAAAAGTATTTCTAGCTTTATTCAACAAGTTTATGTACTGTAGATTTAGGACTTCAGATGTAATACAATGTACATACACAGGAAATGTCCTTAGCAGAAAATATATCTAGTTTTGCAAGTTTGCCTTGGCTATTACTATATCATAAGTGATAGGGTCACAACAATGTTACAGCAGTGTTGAGTAAAAGTTAAAGTGATCTTTTTCCTTCACTTTTCCCCCTTCTTCTGAAGATAAAATTAATATGTGTATGCAGGTTTATAAGTGAAATAAGATTGCTCTTTTCTGTATTAATAAAATGGCCATGTATTTTATTTGTGATCCAGCTGCTACAGTACAATTGAAGTGTTTGGTCCTCATATGCTTTATTAACTCTGCCTTGCAAGATGGCAGCTCCCCCATAGACAGGCAGTCTCCTAAGAAATGAAAAGATGCTGTAAAGAGAAAACTGTTGTAACAGCAGTTATGATCAAATATCTCATTTGATATCCCAATGATAAAAAATCATGACTAAGCCCCCTGAGTCATGAAATTGGCTTAAAAATCATGAGATTTAAGAAAAAAATTGATTTGATTCTTTTAATTTGCCCTCCAGGTTTTCAGCTGCTAAGGGCACATTCTTGAGTTTTTCTCTTCAGTCAAACTTACTTAAAATAACCCCCATAACTGAAACGCTGAGATTCTCACAGGATCATACCTAGATAATTATACCATGACCTGGAATAAAACATCGAATATTGCAATAATCATGGTACATTTATGAGAGTTGGCAACACTGTAACAGTAACGAAGTTGCATACACCACTGTGTGCAGCAGCAGTTAAAGCTTTGATAGTATGATTCATCAAAACAAAGACTTTAAAAAATATATATTGCAAAGTATTTTCAGTAAATAAATTGATAATCATGAATACTCTAACTTAGGTACTTATATGGCCCCATTCTCATAGCACCTCTTAGGGTACGTCTACACTTACCTCCGGGTCCGGCGGCAGGCAATCGATGTTCTGGGATCGATTTATCGTGTCTGGTCTAGACGCGATGGATTGATCCCGGAAGTGCTTGCCGTCGACGCCGGTACTCCAGCTCGGCGAGAGGAGTACGCAGCATCGACGGGGAGCCTCCCTGCCGCGTCTGGATCCGCAGTAAGTTCGGACTAATGTACTTCGAATTCAGCTACGTTATTAACGTAGCTGAATTTGCGTACCTTAGTCCGAAGTGGGGGGTTAGTGTGGACCAGGCCTTAGTCTTTAACATCTCTATTTTCCCAACACTTCTGTAAGGTAGGCAGGTACTATTTCCCTGCTGCTACTGAGAGAGAACCAAAGCACTGAGAGGCAAAGTGATTTGCCCAAGGTCTACAGGAAGTCTGTGGTGGAGTAGGGATTGAAATTCAGGTCTCCTGAGTCACAAGCTAGTGCCCAAAACCACTGGACGATCCTTCATCTACATCACAGCCTTTATTTAAAGAAATGTGTCTGAAATCAGGGAGACTAAACATGCCTTGAATTCCAAATATGAAATAGTTGCAACAAACTGCTTGCACACAAGATCTCAAGATCAAGAATCATTCATAGAAATTATTCCAGAAATAATTTTTAATAACAAGTGTATTTGAAAAAAACTGTAGGCTGCAAGTGGACACTTTACAAACAGGAAGGAAAAAATGTTGAGTAAACTATTCATTCTGAATTATTCGCCTAGCTCCACTATATATTTTGATCGAAGGAAATATTTATTGAGGAATAAGGATCCCAGGATACTTCAAAGATGTGAAAAAACTCTTCTGGTATTAGCTGACGCCTTTTTGACAGAGATGAGTGCCAATCTTCAAATCTTCACTGTTTGGGTCAAATCACAGAAAGCAACTGATAGCTAAGAATTTTATTCCTATATAGTATCTATCCATCACCTGTGTTTTAGGCATCTCACATAAAACACAGCATGACCTCTTTTATTTCTTTTTCATCTGTCTTTTGTGTTGTAGTTGTCTTTTCTAACCTGCTCTCTGATTTATTATATGCTACATTTCTTAATTGCTTTGTGGCTAATAATCTGACATGTATAGATTATTTACTCTGAAGTCTGCATATATTTTAATATGTTTAATGCACATGCAAGTCACTCATATATTGTAGTAAGAAAGGGATTAAAGTCAGTGGGCCAAATTCTGTGCTCAGTTACAAATCTAATTAATAGAGTTAACACTGATAAAGAGGTAGAAAGAAATCACAAATGGATAGGGAAGGTGCTTGCTTGTTTTTTTAATAGTAATATAAAAATCGGCATTAAGCATTTAAATGGACCTGCAATATTCCAACTTAAGTGTTCTCTATATCTTGGAAGTCTAGGGGTGTCTGTTTCTTCATTCAATAATAAAAATATTCCTAGTTGCATAGCTCTTTTCAGTGGAGAGAGAAAAACCACTTAGGAATTAAAATGTGTAAGGCATAGCAGAGTAAAAAGGGATACTGTGAATGCTATCCTTCTCCCCTAGCAGGGTTATTTATTGCATCCTCTATGGAATTTGCACCACAGTAGAATTTGGATGAGTTCATATACAGTATACAATGCACAGTGACTTGGAGCTAAGCGGATATGAAGGACATGACATTTTGAACACTTGTGGTGCCAATTTTTTAATAACTAAAGGAGATGCACGTCCATGTGAACACCCAGTGCTTTAAGACTTTAAACTTTCAGTTTGTAAATATCTTCAAAATGTACCTTTTGATAATGAAGTTAATCTGTAGAACTTTAATTACAAACACTTGCTACTTTAAACCTGATTAAATAAATTGTGGAATGAGCCTCATTGCAGGTGTTTTTTGTTGTTGTTTCCAGTTTTTTGTCCAGACCAAATATAAGAAGTTTAAACCACAGTGCACAAGCTTGTGCACCGAGCATCTTGTTTAAATCAATTTTCCTTCCAGCTGGTTCAGCTATTAATACATCAGAGGTTTGTGCATAATTTAGTGGCTTCTTGTGGTATATTTTATGCTTGTTTATAGTAGCTTAAAACCAGCTTTGATTTAGAAATTAGGGGCTCAATTCAACTCATCTTGTAATAAATGGAAAAATTCCAGAGGGAACTGGATTGAGCCTCAAGTTGTGGAAGAGTTTTATCGATGTTAGAGTCTAACAGTTTTAAGTAATCGGAGCAATGAAAGAAAATTTTACTTCAGAGAATTTTGAATTTTTTTTGGCCTTTATTAATATTATACTATGTATTTTAACAGTTTGTTTCATTTTATCTGTTTGACATAGTTTCACACAGGTTTAAATTAACAAAGCTACTAATTAAAAGGAGTATTTGGGTGAAGTTTTGAATAGTGTTCTCATGGAATATTATTTCCATATCCCAATCATAAGAAAATTAGACAAACTAATTAAAATGTATAATGCTTTTGCTCAAGCTATCTTATTCCCTCTGAACTAACCTATATTAAAGCAGTGTACCATGTCCTCACTTGTATTGTTGTCTTGTTTCATGCAGGCATTCCTTCAGAGAATGTTCCAGTTCGCTGCCTCCAAAGTGGATAAAAATATCACAGAGGAAACAGTTAAGGTTAGTTTTTAATTGCATGCATTTTTCTTCTCTGTGTTCTCTTTTTATATTTATTTATGTTTTATTCTTTTACAGATGCTGTTTTCAAATATTGAAGATATTCTTGCAGTTCACAAGGATTTTCTGACCTTAGTGGAGGGGTGTTTGAATCCTGAACCTAATGCACACCATGAAGTGGGAATCTGCTTTCTTCACTTTGTATGCTATTCTTTAATACAACTTCATAGTTAACTTTTCTCATTCCTGATTGTCTTCATTAATTAATGCCATGGTGATATGTGTGTATATTCAGTCATGAGGACAAAATGACTTGATTGCATAATTTAGGTTCCTTTAAGGTCATTTGGAGTTTACACTCATTGCCAAAAAAAAAGAGAACCTTACCATGTCATCTCACCCATTCTTTTCACTGTAGAATAAACAAGCTTTGTTGTGTTCAGCACATTAGCTTTCAGCATCTTCTGTAGTTTTGAACTGTTAGGAATTTTCAGACTACTTGTTCTGAATTGATTTTATTTTTCATTCAAACACAGAGGATGTTTATTTAAAATAGTAAAATTTTACCCAGTGATTATAACTAACCTTTTTTTCCAACCAGGCAAGTGCGCAAGCTCATAGATACTAGGATTTCCACCTGAAATTTTCTTAAGGACCTTGAAGTTAATGGGACATGAGAACATGCTTATCTTTAAGCAGGTGTTTCAGTGTTTTGCTGAATAAAGGCCTTAATGAACACTTCTAAAAATTTGGCTGTAGGACTTTTATTTATGTTCATTAGCAAAAATAAGCCTGAACAATGAAATGCCATGTTGAGATGTGAAGCACCTAAAACTCAGTCTGGAAGCAGAATAAAAAAGAGAGAGAGTTTAGTTTGCAAGAAACAATGCATTTAAAAGCATTTTAATATTAAAATTCTCATGTACATATTAATATATTTGCTTGCTATTTATTATTATTGTTTTACCTGCCTTGAAATAGAAAATGCAGAGCAGTGCCTCGGTAAATCACAGCAGATATGTTTCTGGATCTTCTGCAGCAACTATACTCTAGGAGCATTGTTTTCCTGTCTGAGTGCAAGAGCATCAATGTTACAGAGCTTTGCTAAATCAGTCAGGACTGAGCCTAACTCTTTACACACTGTCACAGACCTAAAAAAAAAATTGGATCTAATTGGTATCTCTGCTTGGTTCAGCCTTTGGTTGCTAAAGTCTACATTTGCACATTGTGGGACAAAAGATTAAAGGTCAGTAGAATGGAAAGGCTCACAAAAATGCTATCAATACACCTTTTATTTCTTCAAAAATGTGGATCGTATCTGCAAATGCTTGCGTGTGCCAGATAGGTAATGATGTCTGCAAATGGGTAGGTGTGTGTGCACTTTGTTGTCCTGTTTGATTTATTGTAATCCAGCCACTGGAATCTCTCCGCAGATTCTCCAGTGATGTTCACAGACTATTTGTCTTTACAATTCTAATTAAGGGTAGAATTTAAAAATTCTAGAAGTGTTGGATTTCAAACAATAATTAGATATAAAAATAGGAAAGAAGGTGTTGACCTTCCAAAATGCAGATTACCTTAGATTTCTATCCTCTAAAAGTGTTCTTATATTAGTCATTTGGCCTTAATAAAAATCTGAATATACAAAGTATTTCTTTGTCTCTACAGAAGGACAGATTTTGTATCTATGATGAATACTGTAGTAACCATGAGAAGGCACAGAAACTTCTGCTTGAACTTAACAAAATAAGAACAGTACGGACTTTTCTTTTGGTAAGTAAACTTTGACTTGGTATTCTACTTTAATATCTTTTCACTGAATCAGTGAGTTGACAGCAGTGCCTTATTAGGGTCACGTGAGAAATGATTTTAGACATCCTACGATTCATAGATTCATAGATTCTAGGACTGGAAGGGACCTTGAGAGGTCATCGAGTCCAGTCCCCTGCCCTCATGGCAGGACCAAATTCTGTCTAGACCATCCCTGATAGACATTTATCTAAGCTACTCTTAAATATCTCCAGAGATGGAGATTCCACAACCTCCCTAGGCAATTTATTTCAGTGTTTAACCACCCTGACAGTTAGGAACTTTTTCCTAATGTCCAACCTAGACCTCCCTTGCTGCAGTTTCAGCCCATTGCTTCTCGTTCTATCCTTAGAGGCTAAGGT